AAAAAAAAAAAAAAAAAAAGAGGAAAAAGGAAAGGACAGCCAGAGAGTGGGAAAAAAAAAAAAACATATCCATATCCAATGTACCCTGAATGAGCGCGACTTCCTGTGTGAGGGCGGCCCTTACGGCTTCCGCTTGAGCCCGATCTAGTGTTGAATGCTTCAGCAACTCCTCCAATGGGAACTCCGTCGCGATCGGGACACGTGTCATGTCCACGTGGCGTCGCGATTCAGCCACCACATCCATAATCCTTGTCGTCGCTGCTGCTGCTGCATCGTTAATCTTAACCCCATCTCTTCTTCTCTCTTTCTCCTCCAGCCAAGAGCAAGAAGAAGAAGAAGAAGAAGAAGAAGAAGAAGAAGACGAACCAAAAAGAGAAGACAAAGGAGGAAGAGGACGAGGAGGGAGAACGGATACCGCCGGGGCAGATGAAAGGTCACGTCGATTATTCAACAGCGGACGGAGATCATAGCACGTGTCAAGCGAAACATACTCCGGTAAACACGGCTGCAAACGCTCTGCACTATTTTTTCCCAAAATGGAAGTTCCCGCTTGTTCTGCTCCCGCTCGTTCTGGCTCTCCGCACAGAATATTCCCGAAAGGGAAAGTGTATTCTCCTATTCTCTGCAGCACGCTCAGCACAGGATAGAACGAGAAAAAACTCCCACACATCTCAATCATGATTAATTCCGACTCCGATCCCGATCCCGATCCCATTCCACAGGTCGACAAGCCGTTCTTCTCTTCATATCCTCCTCCTCCTCCTCCTCCTCCTCCGTCCTCTTTCCTCCCTTGTACGGGCCATTTCCAATGATCAAACAGCAAGCGCATCTCTCCTTCATCGAACGCTCCCCGATCTGCACGAGAGATTTGAACCCTCGCCCTGTCGAATCCCCTCCCCCCTCTGGCTGACACGTGTCCTTCCGCCGGCTCTCCAGTCATGCTGACGACTCCGAAAATTATCCATGGCTTCTTCGCCTTTCCTTCACTTTGTACCTCCTCCCCCTCCCACCAGACCCCTTTCCCTTTCTCCTCCTCTCCCTCTCTATCCCGATCTCCATTCCTTCTGCTTAATAGCCCGCCTTGTTCACCCCCCTTCGATCTGCTGCTTTGAGGGAAAGCAGAAGAAGCTGTAGAGAAAGAAGAAGAAGAAGAGGAGGCGGAGGAGGGGGAGGAGGAGCAAGAAAAAGAAAAAGAAGAAGAAGAAGAAGAAGAAGAAGGATGTCTTGCTGATCTTCGTTCCCATAAACACACCAAGGAGCCGTGCTGCAACCTCTTCGTCCTTGCCCAGAACGCCCTCCTGTCTGACATCGACCTGCCCGACAACGGACAGTCTATCTCAAGTGTGAAGGCGGTCCCTCCGGTCTTCGCAAGATTTACTCCCTCCACCTCCACGTGGCGGAAGAGGAAGATGTCCACGTCATTCGCGTCGTCCGTCGGCCATCGCCGTCGATCGAAGCCCCGCGCAACGGACAGCATCCTCTCTCTCTCCTTTCTCGCAATCCTCAGCCGTCCGCTTCTGAGATTCAAATGCGGACTCGGGCAGCTCTCGCTGACGAAGGAGAAGAGGAGGGCTCTCTCTCTCATGGGCGCCATCATATCCTCTCGCAGCAACCGGAAATGGACATCTGCCAGCCTGGCAACGGGCTGATCGTCGGCGTGATGACACGTGTTCGGCGGATTGCGCGGGAGATAAGGTCTCCTACCAGACAACAGCTCATCGGCAGTCGGGATGATTGACACGTGGCAGATATCCTCGAAATCGTTGTCGTGTCGAGAATCGCCGCTAAACGACAAACTTCCAGGACCATCACTTTCCACCATCTTGCCAGCCTGCTGCTTAACAAGATGCGGGTAATCATTACAATGATTACGATGCTGAGAATGAGGATTCGGATAAGGTTGACCTCCATTCTCCACCACCTTTGCCGTCGTCTCCTCCTCCTCGTTAAGAAGTGTATGATGATTACTACCGTTCCTACCCCTACTCCCACTTCCCCAACTACCAATACCAATACCAACATCTACTGCTCTCGTCGGATAGAGTAACTCCAGGCGTTGTTTCTCTTGCTCCCGTGCCTTTGTCCTCTCGATCTGACGGCTAGCAGACTGCACCAGCCTGACAAGCCGCTCCAGTCCACGTCTGACATCATCGGCTCTCTTTTTCTCACCGCCAACGACGACGGCAAACCCGATCCCGCTGCCGATCGCGTCCGACCCGGCCGCTACACCACCACCTCCCCCTCCTCCTACTCCATCTCGGTCACAGGTCGACTCACACCGAGCGTAAAGCTGGTTGATATCTTTAACGAACTGCCATTCTTCTTCCGATGCCTGCAATTGCTGAAAACGCTGAAGAACGAGGGCCTTGAAGGCAATCACCGGCGCGAAGAAATCGTGCCACGTGGAAGGCACCCAGCCATCCGCGTTGGATGCACGCGCAGGCGATGTACTAGTCCCTGGTCTCCTACTCCCCGAAGCACCGGTGACATGAGATAACCCGAAGTAAGAAGAAGAACACGAATACGACAAAGAAGAGGCCGAGGTAGAAGAAGATGTCATCAGACCTTTCCCGCCATCGCCTTCCCGCAGAATTCGACGCCAAGGCGGCAAAACAACATTTTCTCCTCCTCCTCCTCCTACTCCTACTCCTACTCCTGCTGCTGCTGCTGTTTGCCCACCAACTCTTCCTCCTCCTGTTTCCCCTGCTCTCTCACCTCCTCCTCCTCGTTTTTCTCCTCCTCCTCCTCCTCCTCCTCCTCCTGCTGCTGCTACTGCTGCTGCTGCTGCTGTTTGCCCACCAACTCTTCCTCCTCCTGCTTCTCCTGCTCTCTCACCTCCTTCTCCTCCTCGTTTTTCTCCTCCACCTTCTCCTCCACCTTCTCCTCCTCCTCCTCCTCCTCCTCCTCCGGTTCCTTCGAATAAGAGCCTGAGACAATCTCGTAAAAAACTCGTGAGGCCATCGACGCCGTTGATTGTAGCGAAGATCGAGTTGACTATGTCGCTGAGAGTGGAGTTGCAGAACTCCGGCCGAGTGATTAAATGAAGGATTGGCAAAATGATTCGGTGAAAGGACACGCTGGCAGTGCCCCGTGCACCGACCCGTCGCACCCCATCACCCCCAACGGCAGAAAAAGAAGAAGAAGAAAAAGAAGAAGAAGAAGAAGAAGAAGAAAAAGAAGAAGATGAATGACCAGTTACAGAGACGAGGGCGCCATTATCCACAGCTTTTGCGAAAATGCCCCTGAGAAGTTCCCTGCCGTTGGATGAAGCGCTGCCGATCTGGAGAACCAGTTGCGACGAATCAGCTGCACAAAACGACAAATGTACGAACGTCGACATCTGCTCTTCTGTCTGAAATGGCGGCTTCAGCTTCAGCAGCGCCGAGAGAGTGATCCCAGCACCACCACCACGGCCACCATCGCCAACACCTCGACCTTTCATTCCCCCTCTTCCGCCTCCTCCTCCGCCTCCTCCTCCTCCTCCTTCTCCCCCCCTTCTCCCTCTTCCCCTTCCTCTTCCTCCTCCTCTTCCTCGCCCTCCTCCTAAGCTCGTCTGCTGAGTCGACTGATCTTGCTGCCCTCCCCCTCCGCGTTCGACATTGCTTCTTCCCCCATTTCCACCCCGACCCCAACCCCGCCCCCCCCCCCCCCCCCCCCCCCCCCCCCCCCCCCCCCCCCCCCCCCCCCCCCCTGCCGAACCCTCTACCGCTTCCGCCCGTCGGTCCCGCCCGATCATCCGCCGCCTCCGCCTCATCCTTAACCATCCTCCGTAACTGCGACGACCCCGACCCCAACCCCGCCATTCCCTCCTCGACTGCAGTATGGTACAAAATGCAGGAACGTTTTGATTACCAGATTTTCTCTTTCGTTAGTGCTGACGATTTGCTTTACTAGTTTATATTTATTATTTTTATTTATTTATTAGGTACTAATTGAAGATTCTTATTCTTGTTGCCGCCCAGAAAAAAAAACGCATGCCGTCAGCTGGTCTTACCGCCGAAACGTCAACCACAGATCTCGACGTACAACTTAAACGAGCGCGGCGGGCGTCTCCACCGCAGATCCCGACCGCGCTTACTCGTCTCCGCACGATCCCAAGCGCCATTTGCTGCTACCACGACCGTCGCCTCGCATCACCGACATCGATCGATGACGCCAACGAAAGCTCGGGCGTTGCCACGCACGGCTTCCTCACTCGATCTTCCCTCCTCCCTCCCTCCCTCTCTCCGTCCCCCCTCCGTTGCTCCTTCTCCCGTGTGCCTTAACCCAACGGCGATCGTCCGCATAAACAAGACATCAATCAAGCTGACGAGGAGGAGAGGGAGGAGGAGGAGCAGGAGAACATACCCGTATCGTCGTCAACTACTACTTTACTTGGTAATTGGGTCTCTCTCTCTCTCTCTCTCTCTCTCTCTCTCTCTCTCTCTCTCTCTCTCTCTCTCTCTATCTATCTATCTATATATCTATCTATCTCGCTCATGGCTGTCTTTTTTCACGCTCCCCCTACTTCTCCATCATCTCTTCGACTCGCTGACATCAACAGTACTCTGAATGGATCCGTCTCATCATCAATCTTATCACCATTGCTGAAACTTCCATTCAGCTCTTGATTCACTGGATGATTCACTGATTGATTACTTGATTGATTGATTGATTGATTGATTGATTGGATGATTCGCTGATTGATTGATTGATTGATTGAGAGGTTGGTTGATCGGTTGATCGGCTGATCGTGCTAGATTGGGCGATTGACTTCAGTCGGACTTTTCCTGATAGACGCACACTTTTCCACACAAACGCGCGCTCTGTTCAGTCTCTACCCGCCCCCCGCTGTAGGAGTCTCTGCCCCGACTACGTATTACCGAAGACTGGCTTGCTCGACCGAGAGTCGACCACGAGTCTTCCAGACGGACGCACGCTTTTCCACATAAACGCGCGCTCTACTTTGTCTCTGCCTCCTATTTGTTTAGTCTCTGCCTCTCGGCTGTAGGAGTCTCTGCCCCGTCTACAGTACCGAAGACTTGCTCGCTCCACCAAAAGACCAAAAGTCGACCTTCCCGCTGAGGCTGACCCGGACGTTGGCTTGGCTACCGTAAGGGGCCCCTGGCCAGGTCCCACTACAGGGTTGAGTTTCCTCAAAGCCTGATTCTGGACGTGTTCGTGAAGATGTGCGGTGAAGGAAACTCAACCCCACCTCTGCACAACTTCGTCAAACACGTCCAGATTCAGGCACAGACGAAACTCAACGCTCCTACTAGGCTTGGCCCCCGGTCCAGCCGCTAACCTCCTTGGCCCCCGGCCCAGCCGCTAAGCTCGCCGGCGGCACGGCGGTTATTATACAGCAATCGTTCCATAGGAATACAACATTAAAAAAATAGAAATAATTATATTATATTATTATATAATTCATAATGAATCGATGACGATCGATCGATCGGCGCGTAGACGAGAGGAGGCGCCAAAAGCCACAGCGGGGGCGCTCAACTACTGCGTCGGTGAAATTTTTTTTTATTATTATTTTTTTTTTGGGGGGAAAAAGTAAGGAATTCATTATCAGGAGCCATGGCAGAGCCTCGCTCCACTGCTCACCAAATGTGCAAAACAACGTGAATGAATCTCCCCCTAGAACACGGACAGATACACCAGCATTTTTTCATTTCTTTTTCTTTTTTCTGTCTTCTGTGCATGTGGTGAGTAGCGGAGTCATTACGACCGGGCCATCGGTTTTCCATGGGCCTCGCTCCGCTACTCGCAAAAAGCGCAAACTGAGAACGAATCTGCCTCAAAAACATGGAAATATACACAGCCATATCTTTTGACTTCGTGCATGTGGTAAGTAGGGGCTAGGATTTTTCAAGCTCCATCTGGACGTAGATACGGCCAGATGCATCCCCAAAAGACCACGAGTACGGTCAGCGCTCCATAAAAACGTGTTCGCGTCAAGGACTCCTCGCGAGGTTCCGAAGTCATGCACAGAAAATCACAAAAACCGGTTCAAAAAAAAAAAAAGGTGGAGGGACGGGCGCTCGGACTGGCGCAGGAGCCCTCCGCCTACAGCGCTACCGGTTCGGCTGGACCGGTGCCGCTGACCCTAGGGCAGGCACGCGGCCTGAGCTATGGATTCTTGCTGAAGCTTCCCCCGGAGATGGCGGAGTCAAAACTCCTTCAGGGAAGGAGGGAGAATGGAGGCGTACCAGCCGTAGGGAGCAGACGCAATATCTACGTAATGTGGAATATGAGGAATGGACGTGGCGCGAATGTGCCGGCTTCCCTGACGTGGAACAAGAGGACGAGGAGAAGAATAGGCATAGCCCAAGAAGCTCCCAAGTGAACCACCAAGGAAGAAAGAGCGCGCCGAACTACCACATCCTGGGCAAAAGAACCCTAGTCGTAGACTAGGAGGGTAACTTCTTTCCCCTACTCATCCTCACTTCAGCGATACCCTGGGACTTTGTAGTCTAGAATCTGCTGCTTGACTATGTCGTAATGCAAGTACAACTCGGGTAGCGTTTTCTTTTCTCTTATCCTCCCTATACCGACATTCTCGGCAGCCTCCTTGCTCAATTTGCTGAGGTTTCGCTCTGCTCCCTAATTGTCTTTCTCTTTTGCTTTTTTGTCTTTCCTTTCTTGCTTTGTAGGAATCAAATGTACTTTCATCTCATGGCGAAAAACGGGGTTTGGCGCCCTAATCAGGACCCGCGTCCTACGACTAACAATAACTTTTCGGAGGCAACACACTGAGACGAACAGATGTACGAAAGGTTGACGTGCGTACTTGGGTGTAGCGATCTGAGCTTCCACTGTCTCGTTCCTGGCTGGGAACTTTAGAAAATCAGAATCGTAGAGCCCGCCCCAAGTCTATTCATACGTCACACAAGCGGTCGGCGCTCTATGTCAGAGAGCCTAGGTGGACGTCACGGCCGTTATGCCTCGGCGACGTCCGAGATGAAAAAAAAAAGGGAAAAAAAGACAAAGAGGCCGGACTGGACTGCAGTTGCAAACTCAACCTTGCGACTGTTCTGCATGTCAAGAGTTTTATTATTATTATTTTTTTTTAAACACATTGGTACTCATTGCTCAACAATATGATCGGGGACGGCCACCCCACATAAAGGTTGGATAGGGAGCATTGCCCCAGTTCGCTTGGACTGCCTATTATGTCCACTTTGGGTAAAGAGATATTGGGGTGACAGTTTTGATGAAAAGATGGTAGCTTGAAGAAGAGAGGCGAGAGGAAAGGGGGAAAGGGGGGGAAAGGGAGAGCGAAAGAAGGATAAGGGAAGAAGAGGAATGACCAGATTTGAAACTTGGGACCGTGCTGGACTCAAAAAAGGCAGTTCGAAATGCATTTATAAACTGCTTTCGTGACTGTGTCGTAGTTAACCCTTTTTTTTAAATCAAATATTAAAGGGCGATAGCCTTGAGATATTATCATCAAACTGGTCATCACTATGTAAGCCACCATTGTTTTTTTTTTTTTTTTTTTTTTTTTTAATGAACATTGCAGTATTTCATATGATCAGTCTGAAACTCGTTGACCATGGGACCCATCAACGACCACAAATACTTCACTTGGGACTACAGAAACGGGTGGCATGTCAATTCAATTCCATTACAGACATAAGTTAATTACTTAATTAATTTGTGCTTTTATTTATTACTAAAAATCGACTAATAATCAATGGCTCTGAAGTCTTTGGCACTCCAGACTCAACGATCAATTGATTACTTAATTTAATAATGTGATGCCCTCGAGGTATTGACGGTGTCATCGTTGAATTGATCAACCCCAGATACAACACCTTCCTCAAACGAAATTCGTTCTCCAGGACATCCGTTAAAGTTGGTGCGTGGAAAGAAAATGAACATCCGTGAAAGTAGGAATGATATAGAGAAGATTACCATGGCCCCTGTGCAAGGATCGCATGCTTAGAAAAAAAGAAGAAAAAAATATCCGCCATATCCACCTCCTTGCATGATATGTAGACTTAGCATCGCTGTCTTGTATGTCTTTATTTTTCTTCTCTTGTATGTCTACCTGCTTCTGTGGCACGAAGACATGTCACGTGTCGTTCTTGTTTTATTTTTTTGTTCTCTTCCTCTTTTTGCCCCCCCTAAAATCAAATTTTAAAAGACGACAACTTTGAGGTATTATCATTCAACTGGTCAGTCCTTGGTCAGTCAGCATTGTAGCCTTTTTTTTTCCTTTTTTTTTTTTTTTCTTTTTTAGAAGGGATAGTTGTCGTATGATGACTGATCATCAATCAATTTCGGTCCGGTTGTGGCCTTTTTTTTTTCTCTTCTTTTTGGGAAGGGATGTTTGTCATATGATTGCGGATCATAGATTGGCTTGCACTTCATTGTGTGTTTTTTTTTCCTCCTTTTTTAGGAAGAGGCGGTTATCGTAGGATTACTGGCTATCGATCAACTTGTACCTGACTGTGGTCTTTTATAAGTAGGTAGCAAGTATTCGACTAAAAATCCGACCACGTTCAACTGAATGAACCGCTGATCGATCGTGAGAAACTTTCATTGCATGTTGTTATTATTGTCTATGATCCCTTCGTTTTTTTCTTTTTTCGATTTTCCAAACGGCGTTGGCTTTGAAACATAGTCACGGCTCGAGGTAATTCATAACGTTGTTCTGTTCATTTCACACTCTCTAGATTTATCAACTTATGGTTGTTTTTAGGCAGTTGACGGATGTGCCAACTGAACTGAGTCCGTTGGTTTATCAGACTTTTGCCCCCTCGTTGGCGTCACGTTTGCCTGTCATATGCATGCCTTACTTTCTGCCAGTATATCATTCTATCTTAGATTTTCAATTGTGACAACAGAAAAAATTCCCAAAATTAAATAATCATTCTATAGTAAAATTACATTCTAAATTCTAAATTTTCATTCCATCTTAAAAAATGTCATTCCAATTTTATTTTATTTTGTCTTACTTGAAAACTTTCATTCCAAGAATGGGGTATCCCTTTTTATTTGAACTGCATGCTAGAGATGGAATAAAAGTCTGGATGAGTTCATGAAATATTTTAATTGGACTGTCATTCTATGTAAGGATTTTCAGTCATAAATGGGTTAATCCAATCTAAATTAGAAGGTATTTGTTATAGTAGAATGAAAGTTGAATTAAGACATTTCATAAACTCATCCAGATTTTCATTCCATCTTGAACAAATAGATGTAGTTGGAAGGGAAAGCTCATATTTAGACGGGAACTTATCAAATAAAACTGAAAATTTTAG